TCTTGTCCCTCGTGAGTCAAACACTCGTCAAAAACATTATTGATACATATAGAAATGGCTAAAACTATGCTTCATGTAGGGTTGGTCAAGCTCGTGAAGCTTACCATGAAATAGAGTTCATCAAAAGTGTCTTAATACATGAAAATAGGCATTTTTGCATATTTCAGGGCTTTGAGTCGACTTAAAGCTAGCTCCGGCCGACTCATACAGATAGTCTTTTTAATGGACTACTTTCAGGAGGGCTCGCGTCGACCCTTCGATCAACCCTCCGATCGACTCATACTGTGTCCATTTGTATTTGCCTAAATTTGCATGCCTTGCGTCGACGCGTGACCTGCTTCGATCGACGCAAGATTCTGTTTTTTGCACAATCAGGAATATGGGTAAGCTCAGGTCGGCCCTCCTTTCTGCATAGGTCGACCGCTTGCTTATGTTTAGTCAAAAATCTATTATGTGAAACAATCTTGGTGTTAGTTATGTTTGTTAATCAGTTACGTCTTGTATATAAAGTGAGTTTTGCTTTTCCTTATTTACCAACTGAGAAAAACAAGAAAAGTGAAAATGACATACTGATTTATTCTCATCCTCTTTATAGCATTTTCTCAACAACTACATATAATCATTTTTGTTGTGCATTCTGCTTGTTAGAGGTAATAACGTCCAAACGTAGGATTGATGTAATTTGTTTTGGGTTGAGTAATCAGTAGGTTTTTCTTGAATAAAACCGTTAGGGTTTTGTCCTCCAAGAATCTTGGATTTTGGGGGTTTTGTACGAATCGGTCCATCACAGATTCAGCCGAGCGAAGGTAATCGAGGAACGAGTGGTTCTGTCAGTTTAGTAGCGGGAACCAGAGGATTGTGAGTGGAAGATTCGGGTTCGACACGTGGGTGATTGAAATCATTCGGACAAGATTTGAAGACCATAGCGTTGTTCAAAGGGCGTGCTGTAGTCAGAGGTTTACTCACCGTGTTCGAAGGACTTGATTCAACTTGAATCAAGGGATGAGAAGAAATAGACTTTGCATCAACAAATTGTGTTTGATCGTTTGATCTCTATTTTATTCTTGTCTAAACATTGACCAACATGTTATATCTATCTATATACATGTCTCAATTATAGTTTTAGAATTGAGGACAGGCGTACCCCGAGCAAGGACGATGGGGGAACTGCCTCAACAAGTCAGTGTTTCTTTCTTTACTTTTAAATTGCTTAAATTCTGAGTTTTGAGTGCAAACAATTGTGTTAATCAAATTCGGATTTGAGTAGTGCTGAATTATTTTTTAAGCTTGTTACAATCCTTGATTGTAATAGAACACTTGAGCATATTACTCTCATATTAGAATTCACTTGTAGTGCCTTGCACTCCAATTGTGTTGTCTTTGCAAATTGTCTATATTTTTACAGCATTGGAAATAGTTAAACCATATAGTGAATAAAATCTAATTAAAGTGTGATCAAACTAGTGATTCTCAAATCTCGTTTTATCGAATTCCATAGGCTTTACGCATATCTGGTTTTTTCGGTAAAGGTTCGTTTTAGACAAAAATAGTTCTTCAATCGCTTCCGCCTTAAACAATTTTAAAAACTAATTTTTGGTAGCGCTGACTCTGTTTTAAACAAGCGATCTATTCAACCCCTCTTCTAGATCTGCGTCATTGTCTAACAAAGCCAACAAGACCTTTTGTACCACCTGGGCTTACAACTAGGTTGAGTGCTGCCAAGAATGTTGTTGGCCTAGTAATAAGGAGGTCTACTCCAACAAAGAGGACCATGCCAAAGAAGAACCTCTAGATATAAATAGGCTATCATGTCATGTGGAATCTCTTTATGTATTTTGTTGTATAATTAGTTTATGTTTTTGCTGTTATTTGGAACATATGTATTATAAGTTTATGTATCCTGTTGTTGTTTGGAACATGTGTGGAATGACTTTATGTATTTTGTGGAACATGCGTATCAGTATGTGGACCTGTTATGAAATGGAACCTGTCATAATGTTGTGTTAAAAACAGAACCTATTTATGGAATTGTTATGAACTTTATGTTAAAAGCAGAACCAACTTATAGGTCATAATGTTTATGGACCTGTCATAATGTTGTGTTAAAAGTGCAGACTAAGTTAAAAGCAGAACCAACTTTGACAGGTCTATAACAAACCAAGTAAACATAAAAACAGAACATACCAAATAGAATTTATAGGTCATTGTGTGTTATATAAAAAACTTATAGATCATTGTGTGTTAAAATCAAGCTAATCTTTAACAGACCAAATATTGCATTCATGTAAAAATAACATAGTCTTTAACAATGCAAACCAAGTTAAAAGCATAACCAACTTTGACAGGTCTATAACATATGTAAACATAAAAACAGAACATACCAAATAGAACTTATAAATCATTGTGTGTTATATAAAACACTTATAGGTCATTGTGTGTTAAAATCAAGTTGATCTTTAACTATTACATTTATGTTGAACTGATACAATCCAAAACTAAAACTGATACATTCATGTTGAACTGCAAAAAGTAAAATCAAAAGAATCCAACTATTACATTCATGTTGAATTGATACAATCTTTAACTGAACTTAAACCTAATTCTTACAAACAAAAGATAAGTTAATTCTTACAAACAAACCATAACATACTACTTCCAAACAAACCTTAATACCCTAACTAATTCTAACAATTAATACAGTGATAATCATCACAAACATCAAATTCAAAATCTTTTTCCACTTCATGATATTCTTCATTTCACTTTCAAGTTTCATCAAATTTTTCCCTAATTCTTCATTCTCCATTGTCACTTTTTCAATGTCTTTTTTGCTTCAGCAAGTCCCTTAGTTACCACACTCAGCCTATGCATCTAGAATTGCTCCTTCTCATCACCCACCTCCTCATAAAACCAACCAAAGAAACCACACCCAGCTTGCATACCTCCTTGAAATTTTCATTGTTTAGAGGTTACCTACAAAATGTAACTTAAACATAACTTATTAACAAATTAAAAAACCTTGCATACCTTATAATTTGGACAACCTCATAAGTTTTTTCCCCATATTCTTAACAGTAGTTGCCTTTTAAAGAGCAACCATGTCTCCACAATGGTATATGGGCTTCCATCGTGACCTACTACAAACATCTGAATCTCCACTTTCATGTTTCAACATAGAGGACAAACAACCAGATTTCATGCTTGTCAAAAACAAAAATCCTAGGTTAATTTTGGGATTTGGGATTGGGAAGGAGGAAGGAGAACGAAAAAAAAAACCAAACAGTATGGGAATGGGAGGATGAAGGAGATGGAAACAACATGATGAAGATAACTTGTCAAGTCATCTGCCACGTACACAAAATAAACGGACGTTTGGTGACAACTAACGACGAAGACTCAATTGACACCATTTTGAAAGTTAGAGGACCAACTTGCCACTTTTTTAAGTTAAGGGAACAAACTGCACCCCGAGTTAAAGTTAAGGAACAAAAATGAGTATTTTGCCTTACATTATCATCTAATAGAAATATATTATAATTTAATTCAAATGCACTACACTGTTAGTTAATTATAAACGTTAGATGTAAAAAAAAATTGACTTTTATTTTAATAAACCGTAAAGTAATGCAAACGCATGATGATGAAATAACATTATAAAACTTTTTACAATGTCAATGTATAGTAATTAATCTCATATATTATTTTATTATATTATATAAATAATTTAAAATTTTCAGTATAATTTAAATGTATGGTCGTCATTAATTGATTGTATAAAATTAATTTACATCGTCAATGTATTATCTATTTTCTCTATTTTTATTTAGATTAAAATCTCGTTGTTGCGAATGTGAGATAAATGATTACTCCTAAAATAATTTTGGTGCAAATTTTTTTTTGGACTTATGTCCTCAATTCTATAAAAAAAAAGTTCAACATTTTTTAATTGATTTCAATAATTTAAACATTAATGAGCATAAATTATTAATTAAAATTTAATATCTCACGATATATTTATTTACAATTTTAAATATTTGTTTAATATTTATAAATTAATATTTTTTTAAAAAAATATTTAAATATTAAATAAAAAATAAAATATACAATATAAGTTAATTTTAAATTATTGATATAATGAAATAGAAGAATAAATTTTTATTGAATGACATTAAAATTATAAATTAGTGATATAATATGACAAAATAATAAATCTTTATTAGAAAACCCTGTAAAACTATTTTATTAAGCGAGAGTTTGTAAAAAAAAATTATATATTGTATTTCAATTAAATTCTATTTTTGAATGTTCGGGTTTTCAAGTGTATCTTCACCTAAACGACGTCGTCCAGGGTAAAAAGACCTCCCTTTACCCTTCGTAAATAAATGTCAAAACTAAAACGCTGAGATTCCTCTACCTCCACCGCCGTATGTCACTGTCACCGCCACAACGCCGTCGCGGTAATCGACGTCAAACCCTCTACCTAAACTTCGTTCCTTCATCGGGTTTTATTCGGTTAGTTATCAAACTTTTTTTCACTTTGATTATTTTGTGAATTGGAGTTGCTGCCAGAATTGAAATTGGAATCTGTATATGTTATGTTTTTCCGAAATTGCTGCCAGAATTGAAATTTGTTGAAACTATGAACAATCACCATTTATTTCTGTAAGAAATCACCTATTCAAATATTTTACGCGGTTGATTAGGTCAAACTGCAAAAGTTTGAGTAGCATAACCAGGGTTTTAAAAAACAGTCTTGTCCGCGGTCACGCTAAGGCTTTCGTGATTTTGGTCAGTACGCGACATGGCTATCGCGGTGTGGATTAAACACTATTTGTTCTTTAACATAAAACCCGTGATAACGGTATTGGCATCGGCATCATATGTTGGCATTTTACATGCCAATAGCAAGAATATATGCATTATGAAATATCGTTGTTTATGTTGTTTATGTTATGTTTTCTCTCATTGCAAGCAGATTTGGAACTTGAAAGTGAAATCTGATGGCTTCATTAGAAATAAAATCCGGTGCATTAGTATCTTTACAAGATCTGCGCCCATCCTCTCCGTTTTTCAAGCAAGGAACATCACTCAGAATAATTGGAAAGTGAGTGCTCCCATTCTAATTATCATGTATTTGTGGATTTTCTTTTGGCTGGAAATGGAGTTTGTGAAATTATGTTGAATATACATGTCTTTGTGTTTCTACTCATGAGGATGAATGCATGATTTGTAATGCTTGATGGAAGGCGTGTCTAGTGTACGACACTAGGCATGTGATTACAATCAATTAATTCATTTTTTTCCTCAAAATTTTCATGTTGAAATGAGGGTAAATACCCTCTTAAAATCCTTCAAAGTATGAGTTTATAATACTTCTAGTGACAAAGGTTAGGTTGTTAATCTTGATAGGGGGGTGTAGCACCGAACCCCCAAAATGCTATAGTGGATAGCGGGATGACCACCATTGTGAAGACTAAAAAACAATGTATATGATGAATATAAATTCCAACGATATACATAAGTACTTAAAAATAGAAATTGCTACAGCATATACAGTAAATTTTCAACAGGAAACATAAATTCCCACAACATATATGTCCCATCAAAATGAGTTCTCGTCAAAATCAAATTATCGAAGTATTCAAAATGATTAAACCAAGTTCTAAACTTAAACAGAATGAAAATTTTAAATCACATCTGCCTCTGTCTTCTCTTCACTTCTAAGTTCCACTACATTAGTATTATCTTGTTCATTACTTGATTCAAACTCTTGTTCTACCACAAAAATCACAAACAATTGTTTTCTTGCTTTGGTCTTTATAAGAGTTCCACTACCAACCAATATCAAGGTTGCCACCAATAGGTTTAAAATAACCTTTGTTGTTTGAGGTTGGTATTACACTTGCCAAGGCAGAGGATGATGATGCCTTGGTTGTTATTAAAAGAGAAAAGTGAAAGGCAAACAAAACAGAAGAGAAAAGTGAAAAGTGAAAAGCAAACAAAATAAAATGCATTCCAGTCATTATCCAGACCTTGTTGAGGGTTTTATTTAACTCATTAATTAAAACATGTGTATTAGTTTTCAGCATAACGATTTCGATAAATGCATGGTACTGGATAGAACCTTATGACGAAAGTTGATCCATGTAGCCAACCCCACTTATTGGGATAAGATTCGGTTGTGTTGTTGTATTAGTTTTCAGCAATTAAACTTGAACACAAGATGTTTATTCTAATTCAATTTAAATTCTGTTGAGTTTATATTATGTACTGTAATAATTATTGTGTGAGAATGCTTCATCTCCGCATTCATGGATGTTGGGTCAACTCAACAGTTCTACCTTACTGTGAGCTACACAGTACTAGTTTTTTACTAACATGTAAGATATGTCCAATCACAAAATATTGCCCATGTAGACTTTAAATGGATTTGATTAAGACATATTGTTAGTTTTCTGGCTGACTTCAGTCAATTTTTAGTCCTTCTTTACTGATATATATGGCACAAAACTGCATGTGATTATACTCTGCTGATTTGGCATAATTAGAACACCAAGGGAACTGCATTAGTTTTAGAACTATCTTCAACTGAAACTCCAAACTGAATTCAGCAAAACTAGAAGACTGGGAATAATTAACCGTAGAAGATATTGATATTTACCAGTAATTGAAATGTTCCATGCAAATTGTAGTGGATGTGAATGTTATGTCTAACTATCTATATCTGTTCAATCGGGCACAAGCCATTGTATGATATCTGAGTGCTATATCTAATAATTATCTATATCTATTTTGCACAAGTCGCCATATGATTGTACCTGGCAAACAATGTTGCTGTATTATATCTCTTTTAACGTTGCTGTTGTGAATGGAGATGGTGAAGTATCATTGAACAACTTGTGTTTACAGGTTACGTGAGTACTCTTTTGAGACAGGCCTAGCAACAGTTATAGATGGTAACAGTATTCTTAAAGTTAACACTGAGCATTTGATGGACCTTAATTTCCAAGTTGGCTCTGTCTACCAATTCATCGGAGAACTCCTTATCCAACCTGATAACGAGGTACATGCTTGTTAGGTTTGGTTAAAGCCTTAGTCTAACCAATTTTCTCTTGCAAACACGTTTGGATTCACTGTACTCTTTCGGTCCCTTTTTATATGACCCTCTTTAAATTTTCAATAGCATTAATTATTTCATTACTAACATTCTTTTAATTAATTCACATATTTTGCTACAACCAACAATACATACTGTGTTAAAAACATTAACTAATTCTCTTTTTTGGAGGATAAATTAGTAAAAACAACAATATTAATTTTTAACAAATTTAACACTACTATCAACTTTATCAATTCTTGTGATTTAGCTCATCAAGTCTACACGTTCACCCTAATCCGGTGCATGCATAAAGTAGTGATTCATGTGAATATAATTGAGCATTGTGTTCTTTGTTCCTTGTTAGGGAGTTTTGCAGGCACGTGTTGGCAGAAACGTCGACGGGATTGATCTCAACCTTTATCATCAGTCTATGCTGCTTTTGAGACAGTTTCAAGCCAATCATTTGAGTAATCCAGCAACTTAACTTTGCAGGATTATTTTTGTAGACAAGATGGCATGATCATATTTTCCATCAAAATATAAAAAGGTGGAAGGTTGCTGTTTATGTAAGGTGTCGTCCACACAAACCTAAGGTCACCCTGATTTTGTAAAGAAATGAATTTTAATATGCTTTTAACAGTCTCTTTCAGTATGGTGGTGCATCAACATTATTTCAACATCTTTAAAGCATTTGGATACTTGGATGTCCATATGATTAACATATTTCCGTTTATTTGGGAGGCCATTGTTGACTTGGTAGGTCCCCTGATTTATGTCATAGCTGTATTGGTTGAAATTTGAAAAGGTACAGAGCAACAACTACTAAACATACAAAGTTTCTCTTTCTCACATTATTGTCTACCATTCATATTCAAAAATATGGAGATAGAGTTATAATTATTGTTGACAACAATGAATTATGTTTTTGACAATGCATTTCAAGCCTGTAATGATGGAATGTTTGTTGGTTTACTTTTCATGTCCCACACATCACTCTACACTTATTTGATTGCGATTGACAATTCGTATATAAGTTCTTGGTGCTAGTGGAGTAGAATAAATACTCCACTCTAAACATAAAAATAAAGTAAATATGTTGGTCGTAGAATCATTTGTATTGTTCTTAATGGATTTCAGTTCATGGGAGATTTTGAGCAAGAGAGAGAGAGCATTATTCTAGCTTTGGTGTAAATTATGACAATAAATTTACACCCTCCACCAATTGTAGTTGGGTCTAGTGGTTAGTTGAAGAGCATAATGAATAAATGTGGTTGGGTGTAGTGGTCAGTTGAAGAGCATAATGAATAAATGTTTGAAGTAGATGTGTTCATATTTAATGCTTGAGTTTTGGTTAGAAGAGGTGTTCATATTCAATGTGTTATAATAATGTCTCAAATGTATTATTTGAAGTGGAGGGAATCTTGAATTAGAGCCATCGTTAACAAGTCACATGTGTGTTGCCACCTGCCACTGTTAAAAAGTCACGAACACCTACCCTTGAGAAAAAAGTGGGATTACATGCAGTTCCGTTGTCGCTTGTGTTAGGGCAGAAGATTAATCATTCAGACGTTGGAGCATGAAAGGAATGGAAATTTTTATGATAAGAGTATTGTTGCAGGAAATGTTTCATGAATATTGTAATGGCATGGGATAGGACTAAGCATATCAACGCAAATTTATCATGAATCATTTACTAAGAAAGCCAAACACTTAAAGTACATAACCTTCTCTAATGGAGAAGCACAAAACTTCGATTTCAAAGATGTTCAACCTGCTGTACCAGAATGTCATAGCGCAGTAATTTACCCAAGTTCATCCCACGTACCAAGATGTCATAGTAATCTTTTCGGGTTTATTCTACCAATTAGGAATGGAAATAGATTAGACTGAGTTAGGTTTTGTTAAGTCTGAGTTTGGTCTGCAAAAATTTTAAGAGAATTTTTTAATTCACCTCTTGATATTCTTAGGCACTTAGCGAAATTTCTTTTATGCCTCTGCTTTTGGAGATACATATTTGGACACATTTTTCTTTTACGCTGGATGCTTCTGGAAACACATCTACGGAAAAAACTCCGTTGATACATCTCCAAAATCTTATCAGAACAAATTTTTTAATTTTAAAATCAAGTTTTATTGATCGCAGATGAAAATTAACTGTTGCAGATGAATATAAAATGACAACCATCCTGAGAATAGGGAGATGTCGTCAAACGGACGCGTCACACGGTGATCAACATAGAATTCGTACCGGATGTCCTCAGCAGCCAGGCGATCGAGATAGACTCTGTAAGGGTTGACCGCCTGGTTCTCCCTGAGCGGGAGAAAGACACGGGCACGTGGCATCAACTTTGTGTAATCAGACACACTCCCCCACCCAGCGATCATGGGAAAGTGTTGGAATATCCAAGTCTGAAATGAAAATAAAGAAGATCAGGATTAAGCATTATCACAAATATATAATGAAAAGAAATGAAAAAAAGTCGAAGGATATAAGATTGTTACCACACTCCCTGCCACAGTCCTGGTCTTCCACAGGCATCCCTCTCCCAACCTCGAATACGTGTAAGTCAGGGTAGCTGCCCCCCCAGTTCTACTCATGGATCCGTGTGGAATCCAAAAAGTACCTCGGGTAAGCGATATCTGTATATAAGGAGGAAGTGTCCACAAACAACTGAGTGCCAACTAAAAATAGAAAATAACATCTCAGCACACGCTGTCTGTGTATCTCAATCTCAGCTGGATCACCATCTGCCTAACGTGCAACAGCGAACGCCTCACCAAATCTACATGTGAGAAAGGATAACCTCACATGAGCCCCTCTAGTTTTATTCATCTCCTTAAGCGCATTCAGTGGATCAACCTCAAGCTCCTTGACCAATATCTCTCTCGCATCCTCCTTCGTCATCCTACCGTGATAGAGGAGGGTACCCCTGATCAGTATATGTAGCAGACATGAGATGTCGTCCAGTGTGATCGTGAGCTCGCCGTGCGGTAGATGGAAGGAGGACGCATCAGAGCGTCATCTATCTGTAAAGTCCATCAGCATCCTGTTGTGGATCGGTATGTAATTGATCTCACAAAGGTCCTTTAAACCAGAGGCGACAAGGACATCTTAGAACCAAGCCTCCTGTAGTTGCTCCAAAGATAATATCTTCCGTCTGTGGTTATAGAACTTCTATGGCTGACGAGTTTGAAAATTTCCACAAATAAGAAACAATGTTAATAAGAAACAATGGTACAAATTATAAATTTTCAAGGAAAAAAAGAAACAATCTGAGTAATGTTACCTCTTTATCCCAGACATGTCTGGTAGTATGGTCAGCGTACCCTGTCAGCAGGGACATATCTAAAGGACTCCCTGAAAAATCCTCAGGCTCATCATCGTTGTCGTCACTAGAATCCTCCGGTGGTGGGTCATCACCCTCTGGAGGTGGCACTTGATTATCAGCAGGAGGAGGATCATGAGTATCCCGACGAGGCCTGCAGGAAGACGGGGCCTGTGATGAACCCTCAGCTGAATCCCGACATCTCCGGGATGAAGAAGTGGATGATGGGGGTGGGATACGAGGTCAAGGGAATGTCTTAGGCATGTGGTGAAGAAAGGTGTGCTTCAACTATATCGGCCTCGGTAACAGTGGTCTAGCTCCGCTTGCGTCTCACAGATACACGTTGTGAAATCCGTCCAAGTCGCAATCTATCTTCTCTGTTTGCCATAATGTCTGCAAGGTATAATCAAGAAAAAACAATAAGGTACAAATAAATTAAAAAACAAAAAAGAAAAAAATTAACATTGTTTTACTTCCGGATGTGAACATACATAAAACTTTCATACATGTATCTACAGAAGAACCCAGAATTCAGAAAGTTTGATTTGTTCTGGAGCTGCATCTATGGAATTGCCCTAATATTAATTTGTTCGTAGATGTAGCTCCGGAATTTTCTGCAACACCAACAATCACGACAATGGTGTCCCCTACCCATGAAAATCGTTTTTTTGAAGTCCTGTTGTCCATTTAAGTCAACAAACAATACCTACATTATCTCTAAACTATATTTCTAAAACTATCTAAGAATTTATACCCCTAAAATTATATTCTAACTCGTTTGCGGGAAATATTCGAAAACACTTCGGGAACTCTAAAACTTACCGATTATATCGAGCTTTGAATGAGTTGGAGTGTCTTGATCGTTGAAATGAATGCTCCTTGTTGAACTTGATTGAAAAAAGTTAAGTTTGGTGGGAAAATATTTTTTGAGGATTAAGAGAGTTTGAGAGTGAAGAAGATGAAAAATGAAGAATGAGGGAGGAGAAGGCGTAACACCCTTCTAAACCCCGCAAAATATATATAAATAATCAGAGTAATTATCATGCATATCAAATAAGGGTGTCACATATATTTTTAAAACATCACACATATACTTGTCATGCTCAATAACACTTAAAATAAATTCATGCTTTAAATATACTTTCACATTAGCATGTAGCAACGAAATTACTTCAATCATAAATTAGAATAATGAAAGCCCCATGATCAACTAATTCATAATCATCACTTAGGCATAAAAGTCGATACTCCACATGAATCGAAATGTTCTCAGTGTTACATGATCAAAGCACGACTCAACCCAAAATAAATAGAGAAACTAAAACAAGCTACTCCAACGGCTACCTCGTGCTAGAAGTAACTATACACCTCGATACCTGAGCGATTTCATACAAAATATCATTCCAACAGAAGGGTGAGAATTCACATAATTATTGAAATTATAAGATAATATATAATTTAAGGCATACAAGCATAATCACAATTATTCTCACACTTCAAAAGTTTCATCAACAAAGTATCACTCAAGTAACCATACCATTCACAAGTATATACACACAATTCATAATTTCAAAAATTCACATAAATACACATAATCACATATTTCAACCACAGTGTAATAACAATGCAACACAATGCAACTAGTCATTTGGTTCATATAGAACCCATCAATTCTCATTTGAAATTATGGATACACCACTTATACCCCACTAGGAACGACATCTTAGTCATTCTACCCCAGTGCGTACGACTATATCACTTATACCTCACTAGGAACGACATCTCAGTCATTCTACCCTAGTGAGTACGAGTTTTGTCCATGTCTTATGTAACACAAACCATGATAGCTGACTCATGAAAAACATGTACATACACACGTAATTCAACACAATGAATTACTTACCACACAATTACACATACTTGCACATTTTTATGAATCATCCACACACAATTCACTTTCAAATGGTATACAACACATTTTACAATACAATCACAATTGTATTATCATTACAACAAGCAATAAATATCATGTATTTCATGTTGTCACACCCAAAATATACTTATACAAGCACACACATAAGTATTTGATAAATTATCCACAATAATTTCACAACCGCCAGCAAACATTACAATAATTCATTAATAGAACATATACACA